CAAGAAGCCGTGCGCACACGCTAGTCAAGCTACAAAAGTAACTCCCATGGACTGACATTTTGAGCCCTGAGGACGTCAGCAGGTGGCTGACGAAAGCTAGGCGTTTTAATTGGTTTTATTAGTAATTTTAGTAATTTTAACATTAAACCAAATTTTCTATCATATTCCCTGGTGCTCGTGTTTTTTCACTGTTTTAATAAATAAATGTATATATATTCCGAAACTAATTTCTGTTTCTTGTTTGAACAGGTTGGGTTCTTTGGTTATGTGAGTTACACTGAAGTCATTGAAGGCAATGTACTTATAAACTTCCCTTCCAATGTAGTGACAGAGGTGATACGTGTGGGGTTTATGATGTCTGTTGCATTTGGATTTCCAATGATGATTCTGCCATGCCGGCAGGCTTTGAATACGCTTCTTTTTGAGCAGCAGGTAAAATTGTATAAACTATATTTTAGGTTTTTCTCCATAGTTTATCCTAAACTGAAGAAATTGTGCTCACGCTGCCCTCTCCTTCAATCTTTATATCTCACGCAAAAGGAAAAAGTGGGATTTCCCCACTTTTTAGGTTAAGAAAACAATTATCAGTATTCGCTCTTGCATGGAATCAATTTTGCTGGGGTGGGAAATGCTTGGAAAAAGAGCAAGAAGTAATGTATAGGATACTCTGTCAAGTAGGTTGATTAGGCCATGAGTCTTATGCCTGTGAAGACAGCAGCCATTGACTGCTAGGTATGAAGTAGAATTTAGCTTAAAGTTTCATAATATCCCAAGAAATAAAGACATTTCAGACCAATAATCAGTTGTTGTGATGATGCCCTGGTCTCCTTTCTTTTGTTTTACCATTTTGTTCCCCCAAATGTAATCACTTTCCTAAGAAGGCCAATCTCTGACAATGATTGAATCTTGTGCCATTCAAATGCAGTGTGGTATAATCCATTTTTACCATGGGCATTATCACTGTGTAGCTCATCAAGTACAATAATTTTGGCCTGCTGAAGCTATGATGAATCTTGCCCACTACTATGCTGATTCGTGATATGGCTGACATTGCTTTGAAATATAATTGCCTTAACATTTGCTCTACTATTTTGAAGCATAATTTATTTTGCAGCACATAAAAAAGTTTTAAAGACAATTTTAAACAGTTATGAGAGTTACAATTAACAAGAAAAGACAAATGGAAAATATGGCATTTCATTAGTTATACTGCCTTGTTATCTTTCATACTGGATGATTTTTTTAGAAGGCATTAAATCATGCTGGCTGGATTATTTTAGTTTTCAGTCTAAAGTTTCTGTAAATAATTTCCGAAGAGTAATAAAATGATTGGTCAAGAGAACGCATTGGGAAGAGATTCTAATTTACAGGGTCCCTAAAGAGATCCCTGATAATTTGCAGATATGTGTTTTCATAGGCTTGTTATATTAATCTTTTCTTTTTTTTAGCAGCAAAAAGATGGAACATTTGCTGCAGGAGGTTACATGCCACCTCTCCGATTTAAAGCTCTGACTCTGGCAATTGTGTTTGGGACCATGGTTGGTGGCATCATGATCCCAAATGGTAAGGGAAATTTTGGACTCTTAATCCCTGGTTTTTAAAAGCTCATGTGTATTTATGTGGTTGCTGTATATGAGCATCTATTAGAATAAGCCCAATATGTCTGTTTGTTTGTTTGTTTGTTTATTTAGATTTGTATACCGCCCTATCTCCCTTACGGGACTCAGGGCGGTGAACAGGCGATAATAAAAATCACAATAAATATCTATTCTAAAATAAAATTAAATAAATAAAGGCCTGCTCTAAAATACCCCATATAAAAACCTATACTAAAACCTAATTAAGACTACGCCAGGCCGGCCGCACGAAATAGATGGGTTTTCAGGGCTCGGCGATTTTCCGCGTCCAGGCGTCAACATGCATCCAGTCCCCCATCCAGTAAGGTCTCCCGTCCTCGACGGTGTCTCTTCCGAGAGGCCCTGGGGGTCGCCAGCCGGCATTGACTGGCCGACGGCACCCTAAGGAGGCCCTCTCTGTGGGAGCGGACTGGTCGAAGGGAGGTATTTGGTAGGAGGCGGTCTTGCAAATACCTAGGTCCAGTCAACTTTCATTAAAGGTACATGCTTTGCACCTATGAATACATTTAGAATGATCACATTTATACCATGTAATAATTATTTCATGTTTATTTTCAAACTTGTTTTGCTTCTTGTTCCCAGTAATTTGTATGATCTTGTATATGTTGTCTTGAATTTTAGTATCTCTAGACAAAAATATGCCTGGTTACACCTTCCCTTTCTCAGATGCCTGTAAATATCTTAATATGTATATGGTGCTAACGGCTACCTATTTAGAAAGACTGTTCTATACAATGGTAGTCCTTGACTTACACCCAGTTGCTTAATGACCACTTGAAATTATGATGGGCACACAACAAATGCTTTGCAGCCTGTATAGCACTCCTGACCATTGTAAAATATTATGTCTCCATCCCCACGGTCATGTGGCTGCATTTTGGAGGCTTTATGATAATTGACGCATCCCATAATCATGTGACTGTAATTTGCAATAGGGTTTTCCAGTTATTTGCAAAAAAACCACTCATTTGGACAAATGGATTTCATACTTACGACTGTGGCATTTGCTTAATGACCACTGCAAGAATGTCAAAAAATCAAGTCCGGTCATGTGGGTGCCTCAACTTATCACCTTAACAACTTACGGTCCTAACTGGGGTTGTAAGGGTGTAAGTCAAGGACTAGCTATAGTCTGGGGCAGGGATATTGTTATTTTTCATCAGGGAACTGGTTCAAGTAGAGAAGTGAATATATTATACTGTGTTAATGATATTACTTTAGGTATCACACTGAATAACTTTTCTAGAGAACACCAGTGCCAGTGCTATAGAAAGAAAAGAAGAAAAAAAACCAGGGGAAAATATTTGGGTTTTTTGCTTGCTCTCAAGTCACGAGATTCTGCCATGTTAAGAGCTCCAGAGTAAGATGCCTTCCAATTGTTTTGTGCCTTCCGAATGATTTTAATTTCAATTCCCATCAGCCCTATCCAGTATGGAAAGGCTTAAGGAATTTGAAGTCATCCCGAGGGTATCACTTGCCTATTCCTATCCTATATTTGTACAAGAATGAATATCTGGATCTATACCAGAACTAGAGTATCTATAATCCCACCTCTGAGGAAGTTAGGTGGTTTAGACATAGGAAATATAAATAAATAAAAAAATAAAATAATTTCAGTATCCTCCTAAGCATTCTTTGTTATCAAACAGAAGCATTGTGACAAGTGTATGCTTTCCACTCTATTTTAATGCATACTTAAGGATGAAGTAGTATCCTAAGCTACTGTATTTATGGTAAGTATGGAGCTAAAGATGTTAGTTCATCACATTATGAACTAATCATTTGCTGATGTGCTTATTTTATCACAGTCAGTGATGTAGATTAAAATCTCTGCTTCACCGATGGGCCCAGAGCAGAAAGCAGGAAAAGTTCATTCTTTATAGTCTAGATCGAGAGTAGCTAAAGGGATCTAATTCATATTATGTGACTTTGAGCATATGCCCCCAGTTTTCCCCTGAATCATTTCAGTGGAAGAGTTAATTCATATGCCGTTAACTGGAGCTTCTAATAATTTTCTCTTACTCTTCTGTGCTAGTGGAGACCATCTTGGGCCTAACAGGTGCAACAATGGGAAGTCTCATCTGTTTTATCTGCCCAGCTCTTATTTACAAGAAAACCCACAAGAATGCCCTTTGCTCACAGGTCAGTGCCAATTGTAATTAACTCTTACTCCATCTCCTGCTTACAGTAGAGTTTGGGCATCTTGTTAATTTCTCTTGACGCCTAAGGAACCCAATCGACTCTCTTGTTCCAGATGAATGGCGACACGGTAGGCAGGGCAAGGGGTTCTAACTAGAACACGTCATTATCAAGAAGTCAGCATTTGTGGCAGTGTACCTGCATCCTCTAACCTTGGGATGCCCCTCTTTTTATGTCTAGCAGACTGCAGTGCATTAATAGCTGATTCCCGACGCTGCATCAGCCTGTTCCTTGCTATTGTGTTCCCAACATGGAGAATTCTGGCAGTATTTTAATTGCTTAGTCTGCTTCTTTGGGACTGTGGCTGAAACAAATACATTTCGGCACTGTGGGCCTTGTTCATGATCATTGGATTTTTTTTGGTTTCATCCCCAAAATAACAACTGGAAAAAAGGAGCACACATATACATACATACACACACACACACAAACTTATTATTATAGAAATAGATTTCTCATTGTAGAAATTGTTTAAAAAACACGCCCAAAGCGTCCTTGTTTTTTTTCAAAGATAGGACTGGTTCCACTTCCTGATTTATTACAGCCACTAATTTTTAAATGGAGCTGAAATTAAGGTTTTTGCTATTCCCTCTGACCATAATATAGTAAACTGACATTTTCAGGGAAGTTCATCATTTCTCTGAGAAGAAGTGGGTGATAATGTTTTTTTCCACTCCTTACTCACTGTGTGTTTTCTCCTTGAAACATAAGATTTGTAGCATCTTTTTTTTGATGGCATGCAACGTTTTAAGGAAAGGGATTGGGAGTTTTCAGGAAACTTGTTGGGTTAGGTCTTTGATGTTATTTTTTGAAGCCAGCCCAAGCGATGTTAGGCACAGCAGATTGACATCACAAGACCAATGAAACAGCCACCCCTATTTTAGGATGAAACATTATGTTGCCTCATTCTTCTCCTCTCTTGACACTTGTAAACAGTTGCAGCATGTGTGGCAGGCAGTAGAAATTTGATTTTTAATTGGATACTATTGTGTCCCAGTTCTGCCCCCTCCCCCACAATGCTTTTTGGCACTTTTTCATTGCAGGCTGTATCATATCCAGTTCACCTTCAAGTTAGTTTAGATAGACATTTGTGGTCTTTGATTGCTGGGGTCTTTTGTTGTTGTTAACATTGCAAACCATCCAGAGTATCTTTAAAATGGCTAGTGTGTCTTTTATCTGTCTGCATAGAATGGATATATGGGTAGGGATGTTTATGAGTATGCATTTACATGCATTTGTAAATCACTCCTCAATTGAAGAAATTTTCCTTTCAACTCACACAGATCATTATTAAGATTGAGTCACTTGCCAGTTATGCTGCAATGATGCGATGGGATGGTCTATTGACTTACTTGTGCTGGGTGAGGGTATAAGTGTCACCGTTCAAGGTGCAGCTTTGATATGTACTCCTCCCAATTCTTCTTGATCAGAATCATTCCCGTGGAGAGTAGGGAAATGCATCCCCAGATATTTTTGTTGGTTGGGTATCTAATGCCACCAACCATAGTTAATTGTTGCAGACAGCTGGTCAGTCAACAGTTGGCAGTGAGCCAGAGTCCCAGAAGGCTACGTGGATTAAACAATGTGGGTAGTTCTCTTACAAGCTTCGAATGCTGGAAAGTTTATTCAATAATTGAGCAACTGGGGGAAGTGCTAAGAATTCTGCCAGACTTGTGAAAGAGCTGATAACTTTCTCTTTCCTGTGGTTCTGCTTGTAAGACTATATATTACTTTCTTGGTATGGCAGGGAAGGGGTACAGTACGGGAGACAGTACTGTAGAGACTGTCATTTGAAAGTCTGTAAGCAGCTTTTCTGATGCAGATAGCTTGCCTGTGCTGTCTCAAACTACTTCTCAAACAAGAGAGCAGTCCCTGAATATTCTACATTTAACATAGAGGAGAAAAAAGCCGGGAAACTCTTGACTACCTTAGTGTATCTTTTATTGGCTAGTGTATCATATGACAAAGATGCTCAAAAAGATAATGGGCTTGTTTGGCTACTGTACTGCACTTTATATGGAGTTACCCTTGAGGAATGTCCAGAAGCTCTACTTTGTAGAAAATGTGAAGTTTTGGTTGCTAACAAGTACATGATATCTTGACTCCAACATGGTAATGTTGAAATATTTGCAGTAATGGTCAATAGTTTTCAAAGGTGGTATTTGGTTTTGAGGAACTCTCTCTGTCTTGATATGAATTACCCAGATGTTTTAGTTTTTCAAGGTAGTCTTCCAGTTGTGCCTGGAATCTTTTGAGTGAAGGGATTGTTAAGTGAGGTGCTACATGACTGCTTCACTCAGTGACCATGATCCTAGCTCTCTCAGTTGTGGTCTTTAAGCAACTATTCGGGTCACTAAATGGACAGTTGGGGATAGGGCCTGAGCTTCTCACCACATCTGGGAAGTCCGGCCCCTCTTTCTGCCCCATTGGGGAGAATGCTGGCAGAAACCCCTGGTGTGCTTGAATAATGGACTTCAAGTCTGACAAAAACATTAGCAAACCCCTCCATTCTGAGCCTTTCAGAAGGCTGGTATTTACTAGCATTTTCCTTTTGGGGGAAAGGGAAATGGATAGATAGACTTTATTAGGTGAGGAAGAAACCCTGTATAGCCTCCCTCCTGAGGCATGTGACTGTACAATGAACCAGAAGCCAGGAGTTCAGATTCCCTACTAAGAGGTAATATATATCTATTCAAGAGTTAGCCATTTTAAAAGAATTTCTGCCTAACAGTTTGAAGAAAGGATTATTATTTTTTTTGGGTCTTTTACATCTGCGCCAACATTTTTCTATCCCTGTAGGGTCCTGAATAGTGTGTAACCGT